TGGCGCAAAAAAGGTTGGGGACCGCTGGTCTAAGGTTATAAAGAGAGGCGTATGTAGCAATCTATAAGGTTATAAACATAATTTGATCAAATAATAGGAGTAAAAGTTCATGAATGACTCAAGTTATTAGAGTTCGTTCAAAGGGTAGTGAGGTTTTAGTACGTCCAGAGTTTGCGTACAGTGCCATACGTACAGCCAGGGTGGGATTTGCTTTGGAGATTTGGTGATTTACCCTCTGCTCTGGTCTATATGTTCGTCGCTCTAATATATTATTATTACCTCCCCACCACAACCTTCCTGTATAGGGTTATGATGGGGTGATAGAGAGAAACAGCCACATTCCTGAGTGATTAAATCAATCCTAACCTGATCGTTATCTGTTTTGTCACAAGTTAGAATCGGTGATCAACGATGCTGTACAGAATGTTAGCCATTTTCACACATTAATTAACTCACAGTCAATTGCCGATCTCAGTAAATGTAAGGGAGCTGCCCCCATCCGTGTACAAAGATTTGCAGATGTGCATAAAGGAGGGGTGACGCACTGCTGATAACACTCAGCAGAAAAGTAGGAAAAGCAGACTATTTTTTAAAGTCAGATTTTAATCTACTGTAGTGGACATTTTTTTTTATTTTTCAACAACATTTCGTGCTGTTGAATTTTGAGAACATTTCATCTTAAAGTCACAGCTACTAAAATAGTTCTAAGTTGCTGTGTCTGAAGACAAAAACCTGAAACTGAGAATATTGGACATGTTGATTTCTGTGTTCAGGGTGGGATTAATCCTGGTTCGTGCCCTTTGGATCCATGCACCTGCAAGTGATCAGCTCACCTGTTCCTGATTTTCTCTAACATTCACCCTAAACTTTGACATTTTTGTTTGTTTGTGCTGTAAATAAACTTGTTAAACTTTTAGTCAAGAGGTCTGCGATTGAATCCAATCCGCCTGAAGCCCTGACAAATATCATTTAAAAAAATAGTCTTGTGACACTGTGGCTATATGTTTATATTCAGAACCCTTAAAGATTATAATTATTCTATAGACATTTCATTGACAGCAGGGATAAATACCATAATAGGCTACAGAATAATTGTTATTTTTCTTGCATGCTT